TCTGCAAACTGACAATTTGGAAAAAAGTTATGGCCACCACAATTTTACGGGCCCCCAGAATATAGGTCTATACGACCCCCAGAATATAGGTTGGTCAAAAACCCTGAACATGCCCAAAACCATGCTTTGGGATGCTCTACTTGTAGCTACTAGTCTCCTGAACCCACATATCAAGTTTTATCAAAATTGGATAAAAATTGGCCGAGTTATGGGATAAAAACAAAAACCATATGCCCATATTTGGGCATACGCACCAAATTTGATCGATTTTGGTCCATAAATTGGTCAAATATCAATATTTTTGAATGAAACCAACTTTATATGGAAGGTAAGCATATATTACACATTCTCTATGATTATCAGCTCAATATCTACCTAACTGTGGATTCTGTGTTCAAATAATCGCAAAAAATGAACAAAATCGCCCATATCTCAAACTGACTTCGCTCAAAACAATAGAACTCAATAGGGTTTCAATATTTTCACATGAAATTTTCAGAATCAACGTAGAATAGTCTCATGACCTTAAGTTTTGGGACAGAATTTTGAGTTAGGCCTTTAAAAAAATTTGGCGGCCAAAAATGTCTGATTTACAGTCATTGAGGTGCACATTGTATTGATACAGATAAAAACAGCCCCCCTCAATCATATCTAGGGACACTCCTTCAATCTTATTTAAGTATTTAGTTAATATCCCTACTAAATGAGTGCATGAAAGCTTTTTAACAAGTAAAATTAAAGATTTTACTCATTACGGGTATATGGCCCCCAGAATATAGGTTTTTAAAAAAAAATAGCGACCAAGATTCTGCATTTTCTCTGTCACCCTGAGCATTAAGGAATGTGGGGTAGTGATGAGAAACAGTTAAAGAACATATGCTGAAGAGATGGCATCATCAAAATGTATGAAGGTGGAGTATTTGAGGACGATTTTTGCATACCTATATTCTGGGGGCCGTAGTTTTTGATTTTTTGCTATTAAGTATACTCTAAACCATTTCAATTTAGTATCTGGAGCCATTGGCATCATCAATACAGTCTCAGCAACATATTCTGACTGCATATAACTGTCTGTGACAATTTTAGAACAACTTAGGAACAGATGTTTGGACCTATATTCTGGGGGCCCTGTTAAAAAATGGTATTTTTACAGGTGAAAAAAAAGTACACTTAAAAACCTAATAATTATTTTCAACTACCCAAGAAACATTTAAAGGGTTATTATGTACATATTTACAGCCCTAAACATGCTTAGAAGTAGTTTTAACACCTGTTTCTAAGTGCTCAAAAAACGACCTATATTCTGGGGGCCATATACCCGTAACAACTTTTCCATAGTACTGGAGAGTAAAACTCTGTTAAACAAAAAAATTCTCGGGCACATTTTGAGTCAGTAACAGTAACATGTCAATATGTTACAGACTCAAATGCGTTTAAAAACATTTTAGTAACAATAAATTGTGTAAACTGATGAGGAGGAGGAGGAGGACTGAGGAGAAGGAGGACTGAGGAGGACAGAGGAGGAAGACTGAGGAGGACCAGGACGAGCACTAGGAGGATGAGGACGAGGACTAGGAGGATGAGGACGAGGACTAAGGACGATGAGGACGAGGACTAAGGACGAGGAGGAGGACGACTGAGGAGGAGGACTGATTAGGAGGAGAAGGAAGAGAAGAAGGAGGAGGAGGATGAGGAAGAGAAATGAGGAGGAGGAGGAAAAGGAGGAAGACTGAGGAGAAAGAGGAGGACCGAGGAGGACTGAGGAGGAGGAGGACTGAAGAGGAGAGGGAGGACTGAGGAAGAGGAGCAGGATTGGTGTGGAGGAAGACGAGAAGGGGGAGGACGAGAGCGAGGACGAGGAGGAAGACTGAGGAGGAGGACTGTTAAAAAGGAGAAGGACGAGGACTGAGGAGGAGGACTGAGGATGAGGAGAAGGAGGACTGGGGGAGAACTAAGGACGAGGAGGACTGAGGAGGAGGACTGAGGATGAGGAGGAGGACTGAGGATGAGGAGGAGGAGAAGGAGGACTAGGGAGGACTGAGGAAGAGGAGGACTTAGGGAGGACTGAGGAGGAGGAGGACTGAGGAGGATGATGAGGAGGAGGACTGAGGATGAGGAGGAGGAGAAGGAGGACTGGGGGAGGACTGATGAGGAGGAGGATGACTTAGGAGTAGGAGGAGAAGGAGGAGAAGGAGGAAAAGGATGAGAGGGAGGAGGAGGACTGAGGAGGAGGAGGAGGACTTAGGAGTAGGAGGAGAAGAAGGAGAAGGAGGACTGGCGAGGAGGAGGACTGACGAGGAGGAGAAGGACTGCGGAGGAGGAGGAGGACTGAGGAGAAGGAGGAGGAGGAGGACTGACGAGTAGGAGGAAGACTGAGGAGGATGAGGACGAGGACTAAGGACGAGGACTAGGAGGATGAGGACAAGGGCTAATGAAGAGGAGGAGGACGACTGAGGAGGAGGACTGATTAGGAGGAGAAGGAAGAGGAGAAGGAGGAGGAGGATGAGGAGGAGGACTGAGGAGGAGGAGGAGGATGAGGAGGATGAGGACTGAGGAGGACTGAGGAGGAATACTGAAGAGGACGAGGACTAAGGACGAGGAGGAGGCGGAGGACGACTGAGGAGGAGGAATGATTAGGAGGAGAAGAAAGAGGAGAAGGAGGAGGAGGAGTAGGAGGAGGAGGAGAAGGAGGAGGATTAGGACTGGGGGAGGACTGAGGAGGAGGATAAGGAGGAGGAGGACTAAGGACGAGGATGAGGACGAGGACGATTATGAGGAGGACAGAGGATGAGGACTGATGAGGAGGAGAAGGAGGAGGAGGATGAGGAGTAGAAGGAGGAGGAGGACTAGGGGAGGACTCAGGAGGAAGAGGATGATGACTGAGGAGAAAGATGAGGACTGAGGAGGAGGACTCAGGAGGAGGAGGACGACTATGAGGAGGACTAAGGAGAACTGATAGGGAGGAGAAGGAGGATCAGGAGGAGAAATGAGGATGAGGAGGAGGAGAAGGAGAAGGAGAAGGAGAAGGAGGAGGACTGGGAGTAGGACTGAGGAGGAGAAGGGGATTGAGGAGGAGGGTGAGGAGGACTGAGGAGAAGGACGAGGACGAGGACGAGGAGTCAGGAAGAGGACTGAAGAGGACTGAGGAGGAGAAGGACTCAGGAGGAGGAAGACTTAGGAGGAGGAGGAGGAGGACATCTAAATGTTTTGTCTGTTTTTGTCCGCCCTACTTTTTGTCCGTTTTGAAAATACAGGGTACCGAACGGACACAAAACATGATCCCCCAGTCAAGCATGTGTTACGATACAAATGTACTTGACTATACATTTAAGGTGCAGTGTACTAGTGATATTATGGTATGTTTAAAGACCGGACCACAAAATATAACCCTAGTGTTGTACTAATACATAATAACAAGTAACAGGGATAAAATTAATGAGCAGAAACAATCGATCTCACGTCAAGAGGCCAAAGCACTCGGGTCTGGGAGTACATGACAACTCCAACTAGTAGTGAGCATACTAGCCCCTGCAGTGGAAAAACACATAAAACATACTATTGGAATGTCCAATTAGTTCGTTTTCTCATAACAATATAGCATATGTAGGGGTTTTTTATCACTTCCTCACTTCTGAGAGGTTTTAGAGATCGATTCTCTAAAATTTCTCAATTTTCCGATTTTTCCGATTTTTCCGATTCCGATTTTGGCCTCATCAACCCTCATATCGGACATCGGGTTGGACCCCCCCCCCCCCCCCCCCCCCCCCCACGTACTTAAATAATAGTTATTGACACGGTATTGTGTCGAATGATTTAGGGACAGTTCACATATTACGTAATTAGGTTATCACTATTGGCCAATTCTTACACCTCCCCACCCCCACTACGTTATCAATTTTACAGATAGTATAGCTATTGTTATGTGTCATAATAACACTAGCGTAATCTAAATCATTTGATGATTTGAAACCCCCGCCCTGCCCCATCGGCTGATCGGCACGCCCGAGAGCGCGGTAAAATATAGAAATATATGCTGAAGTGAGTGTGGTTTATATAAAACTTTCGGATACATTTTATGAATGAATTTGTGCGTGACTATAAAATTATGGCATGACTAGAGCCGCGCACACGTGCCAGCTACCACACATTTGAAACTTATTCTTACAATAACACTAATTACAGTGGAATGTGTAATGTCAAATGGGAGCGGTGTGAACTGAGCTGAGTGTAGCCGTGTGTACGGAGGAGCTGTATTAAGTGTCATCTAAGAAGATAATATGCCATTATTCCGTTTTATTAATATTACAGTATTTGGCGACTGGCTGGCCGATGGTGCTGTGTATCTTTTGGAAGGACAATACAAGGTCAGCAATATAAAGTATATCCCCGGGTCAAAATCGGAAAAAATTAGAATATTTATATTCTTCGTTAAGATTTACATGATGAACTATATTTTTCGCTTAGATTCGCAAGATAAGCCTGTTTTAGGACTAGTACATGGATTTACATCCAAATTGGTCAAAAATTGGCTGAGTTATGAGCTTTAAAAAATATGCCCACATTTGGGCATACGATTTTGCCCAAATTTGCTTTTGCCTAAATTCGATCAAACTTCAATATTTTTTAATGAGACTAACTCTATGTGAAAGATATACCTCAGTGTTTGTTGAATATAGTGATTACTAAGTAAAAAGACCTCTATGAAAAAAATTGGGAAAATTGCACATAATATTATCTCGGTTCGGAATACTAGCCAAAATTATGACTTTATTAAAATTGAAATAACTCTATCAGTTTTCAATATTTTTGCAAGAACTTTTTGGAATCGATTAAGAATTGCATTTCAAGCTTATTGTGCCGGCAAAAATTGTTGATGTAGGCCTCCAAGGAGATATCCGGGTCAAAATCGGAAAAAATCCTATATTTTAATATACTTTAATATGGTTGCCCCCCCCCCCCCCCCCCAATGTTTGAGTGACACACTAACTATGCAGTTTTACCTGTTTAGAGGGGTTTTCAAAGAAAGTTTTAGTTCCCAAAGTCCGTCTCAAATACCAAAAGCAAAACTACCAGTACCATTAGCTTTAAACCTGGGATATCACTAATTTTACAAATAATAACATAATATCGAGTATGGAGGCCGGAGGGGTTAGAGGATGGTATTAAACTAAAAGTATAACAGCTAGGCTGTAATAATATCCAAGATTGTCAGAAAATATCGTCTAATCAAGCCAGAAAAGTTTGTTAACTTATCGACTATCGAGTAATCGCACGTACGACAGGTTTCTCGTTTATCTCACCAAAAACTTCAGCAGCTTTTTTTTCTCATCGTCAGATTCACTTATTCCATACGTAATGACCCCCCTGCTTCTATATCGTCCTCTTCAGCTTCTGTCTTTACTGCTCTCTCCGCGGCCATCTGTAAATGGGGGGTTGTAAAAAGATAAAAAATGTAGTATACAGTTTTCAGCCAATCAGAAGACAGAATGAATCAAACGGTTTTTCTTTCCAAACTGATCGCTTGTTCAGGTTAGACGATACGAAATTTCAGTGGCCTTTTACTCCCAAGTTATAGACATATTTCATTAAAAACACTGTTTGTGGCTCTCGCAAGCTGATCTGCAAATTTTATAGCAAACTTAATATTGTGATAGTGAATATTTTACCTTGAGCGGGCCCGTCACAGTTGACAAAAAGAAGTATCTCGACGAGGGAGCTGGGAGAGATAGAACTTAGCTAAAATGATAGGGAAAGGGTTAAACAAAGTTTTGAAAACATTAAAAACGAAATAAGCAGCATTAATAACAAACATGATGAGCCATAATCAGAGTAACACACCACGTAACCAATTGCCATGGTTACGCGCAAGTTGAAGTAACACAGTTACGATAGATATTGATATAATTTCATAAATATAGCCGAAAAGACAGACAAGTAAGTATTTTAGTTGAGGTTATGATATGTTAAAGAGTAAAAGGTTTTGCAATTCAGCTGGCTGCCAAAATCAGCGGTCAATCCAAAGATAGATTTTAGTGACGATCGTATAATAAACTACATCGTCACTAAAATCTCATTATATGTAACTACTGACAGTTCTGCCCGACAGTTCCGCCCAATCTAGATCAATTGCTTCCATGGGATGATGCGACGAATCAAAACAAAGTTTTAAAAACAACCTTTCGTTGGTTGTACGTAAATCCGGACCTCTGTCAAGGAGCTGGTCGGATCCACACTTGCCGGTGAGGAACAATTACTGAAAACTGTCATGATATTTCACTTTCACTGCTTTTTACTAAAAAATGGCTTAATTTGCATGATTTTAATCCCATCCACCCTATTGTTACTAGTAACATAGATTACTATTGAAAATATAGGTAGAGTGAATGGGTTCAGCCACAGACCTCAAATTACATTGCCCGTATGCATGGAAACGAGTCATCTTTAAGCAATTCTAAGTAGTTTTGTATGTATCATCGCGTCTGGATCTGTCAGCATTGATTTACTTTAGCATATTATGACGTTTATACTTGTCCGGCTAAACACGGCTTTGTATAGATACGATAGGAAGTCTGTCTCATTAGGAAGAACTAATAAGAATTATTAAGAACTCATGCAGACAATTTTTAGAAGTGCAGCAACGTGTGTCAAGGTGTGCTACAAATAGAAATTATCATTGTCAGGTATATTACAGCAGCTTCCTGTCTTTTAGCTTAATTTTCTAAGAATTGCTACGATGTTGCTAGGGGACCACTATGGCGTTACAATGGTGTTGCTGTGGCGTTGCTAAGGTACCCTTCAGCTCTGTTCAGACCATAAGTTGCTTTTAAAAGGTCAAATAAATATACTCATGGGTTTACTTTTAGGAAGTTTCTGGAGTCAAAGAAATAACAACACAGATTTTGGCTGAATTTGCTTGAACTTATTCAAAACAATTCATTTCGGCGTCCGGACTCTACGGCTTGAGACACTCTTAAATGCACTCGCTGTTTACATTTGAAAGTTTGCATGATATTAACGACCCAGGAATATCTATAATGTATAGTACAGTATGACTATCGTTTTCAGATAAGTTCAACCCGCTATGTGTTCAAATCAGTGTTTCATTTCATCGGCTGTATCATAGGTCAAGATAAATATTTCTTGATGAGATAAAAGCTTACTTTCGAAGAACATTTCCTGTAACCATGGGCACCCTAATTTGATATGGAATTCTATCTATTTTGATCGAAAATATGAAACAAATATTTCCCGCCGTAGAGTCCTAGTCTCTACTGCGCCGCCGTAGAGTCTTACGTCGTTGAGTCTCACACCCTATAAGAGTACCGGTAACCGGTACCATCGTTTAGATGGATACAGGCACCCTGGGGATCTCCAAATAATATGTAGATGGCTGAAATCATTGGATGATGATTAATCACTCTACACTCGACTGTCACGTGACTTTTGAAACCTGTTCTCTAGGTGGCCATGAATAACCCTATAATCTGATTCCAACCCTAATCCAACCCAATCTCTAACAAAAGCATATGCCAAAACCCTAACCCTTTAGAGCGAGATATTTGACCAATTTCCTTATATAATGGACATATCACGTGATCAAGACAGCTATTCGCCAATATCTCGCCAGGGGAGCATTTTAATGTCATGAGGGGTGATTCGGAATCAGCGTTCCAACTGTCGGGGGGCTTTTTAGAAAAATCTTGAAGGTTGACTGTAGAGTGATTTAGCACGCTCGGCAACCATTCACCCTACATATATTGTCAATAATAATAAACATTCATCAGTAGTTATAGGGTGTTAGAGATCATAATGATACAAATTAAACCATTTTTTGATTAAACAAAGCAAAAAAACGGCCCTTCGTAAACAGGCGGGGAAGTGAGTGATTTGAACAAAGTTACCGTACCATAAGTCGAAAACTAAAAGTGATGGCAAATCCTCGAAAGAGGTGTTTGATCACCAAACACTGTGCAGATATTAGGAAAATATATTATTATTATCTGTATCAGGTATTCTTATAAACCAGAGGGCAATGAGATCTGGCGTCTCTTGATTCTCTATAGCGGTTTTCGACTAATAGTTACTGTTAAAAAAGAACAACGAAGGACCACTAAATAAATGAAGTAATGTGCACGCCAGTAAACGATATCCCTCACCTTCTTCCTGAGTCAGGGGTCTGTTGCCATAGCAACGAGGGAAGAAGAGCGGCAGCGGTTAGGGTGGGTTTTGCAATGGTTAATGATGAGCCGCGCGCACGTGCCAGCTACCACACATTTGAAAATTATTCTTACAGTAACGCTAATTACAGTGGAATGTGTAATGTCAAATGGGAGCGGTGTGAACAGAGCTGAGTGTAGCCGTGTGTAGGGAGGAGCTGTATTAAGTATCATCTAAGAAGATAATATGCCATTATTCCGTTTTATTAATATTACAGTATTTGGCGACTGGCTGGCCGATGGTGCTGTGTATCTTTTGGAAGGGCAATACAAGGTCAGCAATATAACTTTGTATGGTAGCCTACCAAGCCTGTCAAACAAGCAACGAATCAGGAGATTAGAAATGGCGGGACACTGCATTAAACATCCTGAGCTACTTGCCAGTGACTTAGTGCAGTGTTATGGGATCTTACTCATAAGTATTTCCGTGGCTGTGGTTGCAATGCGCCTAGTCTACTGGAATGATTCTTCGGAATTTCGCTGGATTGTACAACTTTCGTCTTGGTAGATTCCAAACACAAGGAAATTTTCCTCGTGGTTGGTAATATACTCAATGATGGGAGTATAGTGTGTTGGCTATGCCCCGCTTACTAGTTTAGCTCTTTCTAGTCCCCTGCTACACGGCATGTAAACAGGGATTGGCTAGTTAGAGGCGGTCCGTGTAGGCCTTACACTGTGCTTTCAGCAATACTCATAGGATATTAACGACCCGGGAATATCTATAATGTATAGTACAGTATAACTATCGTTTTCAGATAAGTTCAACCCGCTGATATGTGTTCAAATCAGTGTTTCATTTCATCGGCTGTATCATAGGTCAAGATAAATATTTCTTGATGTGATAAAAGCTTACTTTCGAAGAACATTTCCTGTAACCATGGGCACCCTAATTTGATATGGAATTCTATCTATTTTGATCGAAAATATGAAACAAATATTTCCCGCCGTAGAGTCCTAGTCTCTACTGCGCCGCCGTAGAGTCTTACGTCGTTGAGTCTCACACCCTATAAGAGTACCGGTAACCGGTACCATCGTTTAGATGGATACAGGCACCCTGGGGATCTCCAAATAATATGTAGATGGCTGAAATCATTGGATGATGATTAATCACTCTACACTCGACTGTCACGTGACTTTTGAAACCTGTTCTCTAGGTGGCCATGAATAACCCTATAATCTGATTCCAACCCTAATCCAACCCAATCTCTAACAAAAGCATATGCCAAAACCCTAACCCTTTAGAGCGAGATATTTGACCAATTTCCTTATATAATGGACATATCACGTGATCAAGACAGCTATTCGCCAATATCTCGCCAGGGGAGCATTTTAATGTCATGAGGGGTGATTCGGAATCAGCGTTCCAACTGTCGGGGGGCTTTTTAGAAAAATCTTGAAGGTTGACTGTAGAGTGATTTAGCACGCTCGGCAACCATTCACCCTACATATATTGTCAATAATAATAAACATTCATCAGTAGTTATAGGGTGTTAGAGATCATAATGATACAAATTAAACCATTTTTTGATTAAACAAAGCAAAAAACGGCCCTTCGTAAACAGGCGGGGAAGTGAGTGATTTGAACAAAGTTACCGTACCATAAGTCGAAAACTAAAAGTGATGGCAAATCCTCGAAAGAGGTGTTTGATCACCAAACACTGTGCAGATATTTGGAAAATATATTATTATTATCTGTATCAGGTATTCTTATAAACCAGAGGGCAATGAGATCTGGCGTCTCTTGATTCACTATAGCGGTTTTCGACTAATAGTTACTGTTAACAATGTAGGGTCAGTGAATAATAAGTCTTAAATTCTTAAAAATTGATCGGGAAATTAAATATTTATCTTAGATTACATAACATTTTCGTAGACTAAAATATTTTAAAGATACCTTAGTATTACTGCATACTGTAAATTGATTAAAATGTCCTCGCCTACTAGTTTGCCTGGGAAACAGGCTGGGACTGTCATC